TGGGGCTTACATAACTGAAAGCTCACCTACCCTTTCCAACAATGTAAGTTGGTTTAATAAAAGGCATTACTTCCACCCATGGAGCTCACCTTACCTGAAAGGAAAAAAAAAAAAAAATGCAGCTTGAGTAATACTTAACTATTTTGCTATTTATTCCTTTATCTTTTCATCACTTTTTCAACTGATAGCTGTACACACAAGCAGTAAGATGGCCAGCTGCAAAACTGCAATCACAAACTCCAAAGTTAATCTGGAATCAGCTGCTTGATTTGTTTAGCAGTTGTCCTTATACCCATCCAGTGTTTTACTTGCATATAAAATATTTCAGCTAGGTATAATCCTTACAGTCCTTCCATTTACATAACCTTTTTACACAAAGAATCACCGCAGAAGCGTAGAGTGATTTTGAAAACACTATTTGCAAGTGCCCACAAATTTAACTTTTAATTTAAAACCACTGCTCACACATCTACCAACTCTTTTTTTCCACTGCAAACCACAGATTTCTAGAAAAGCTGTACCCCTCCTACTAAGCTGGTATCTTCATTGCAGCTTCCTGCCCCTTTCCTACCTTACTACCAGTAAGTGCCTTCTTTTAGAAGTGCCTTTATCCAGTATAGTTTAGTCTTACCCGTATCTCACCAGTAAAAGTATCAGACATAGAGAAAGGGAACAGCTATGGGAAATGGGATTACAAACTCAGGAAAATAGCACTGCACTGGTTTACATTTTGATATCATCTTCAGAGCCATAAAAGCAAGGACATCTGCTTTTTTTTTTCCCCCTGCAGTAGTTTAAAATACTGACGAACCTGTCAGGTTAGCTCCAAAGTGCTGGCCAGTACATGAAAAGGATTCCAAAGCCTGGTACTATGCAAAATTGTTACACATATATCAGAGCATTTTCAACCCCCTGAAGCCACAGCAACATCAGAGGAAAAAGTTATGCTGGTTATATGTCATATTTTAATCTATAAGCCATAACTTCATCTTCGAAGCTTATTACATTGGCATATAAATCACAGACGTTGAGACCACTTATTACAATAATCAGAAGTAAATTCTGTTGTATTATGTATGGAAAAAAAACAATATAAGGATGTTCCAGAAAAGAAATCAGGGGCTAGGACTTCTCATTCACTATGGTTTTACCTCCACTGGAGATAAAATGGTATGATCTCAGATGATTTAATGTGGTTCAAGTTAGTCCTGCCTCCTGATAGGGATGCAGTTTTCAGACTAAGAAGACCAAAAAACAAATGAGGAAAAGAAACCTTATAATCAGATGCTATTCCCAGAGGAAGACTGGTTGGGAATATATTTGTATAAATAGAAAAAAAATGTGTTTCTGCCAGCACAGCAGATACCTGGCAGTAACAGAACAACCAAGAATCCAAAGAAGACACACGAGGATTACTGCTCATAATACTTGTTTCTGTAAATGCCGAAAGCTACTCATAAATTCTTTTATCTCACCAATCTTCTCTTTGACAGAAAAGGAAATGTGTAGTCAAGCGATAAAATAATGTGTTCCCATGTTTAACAATAGTGATGAAAACAAACTTACAGTCTGGTTTTAGATATCTGGTTGCAGATGAGAAATTTTATTAACTGTAAAAATAAAACAGTGTAAGTTGTAGCACATTCCCCCCCCCCAAAACTCCTCTGTGCAACAAATTAAGTAAACGTAAAATTAGAACCCTGAACTAGAAACACAGGAACATGCTGTTCTTTTTTCCATCTTTTTAACCATGCTTTTGAGACATCCATTTAGCATCACAAATACTATTCCTACAATTACGTATCAACATTTGAAATGCATATTGTATTATATGCTTTTCCCTGGCTGGAAAATAGTTGGAACGGTCACAAAACTAGTGTAAGTCTACAAAAAGAAACAAGGGCTGAGAAGACAAGTCTACATAAGAATAAATTTCCAAGAAAAGGCAGGCAGAATAGATTTTAGAAACTGATTAGTGCCGCTAATACATTTTATGCGTGGAAATCAATAAATATTTTGTAGACTTTCAATAAAAACCCTAAGTATAGAGAAACATCACCTTGCCAGTAACACCTAGCAGAACTCCAAACATGCACATGCGTTATCCCGATGAAAACCTCATAAGTAGTAATCATTACGGAAAGTGTTTGAGGTGTCATAGAATCAGAAAGCTCAAAATACACCTGATGCATCTCTAGGGAGAGATAAAAATTAAAATTGGGTGGTTTTGACAGTTCTAGGCATGTCCTTTATACTTCACTAGCACCATAAAAAAATACTACTTATAGAGCTAGAAAAAACAAGATGTTTTTCTGATGGATTTAGCTTTCTTTGGATCCAAGATCACGAAAGCGTTAGTTTAGCCCAAGCACTGCACATCAGGTTGAAGAGACCTCCTGAACCCTCCTCTCAGCAAGGAGACTCTGTCAAACATGCCATCTTCAGAAAGAAGCAACAGATCTGTTGACATTCAAATAGCAAGATTTAAGTTCTGGCTAAACGGATAAAACACACTTATATTGCTCCCTCAACAATTTACCATTTTTAAAAGCTTTTTTTTCTTTTTGAAGCAAACATGCAATCCACTCCCCTTTTTTACAAAAGAAACGCGTGTCCTGAGCTGTGGGAAACTTCCAGGTCCTACATCTGCTACGTGGGAAGGCCCGAGAGGGATTATTTGTGTGCTCGTCTTCACGGCAGCAGTTGCACAAGTTACGCACATGCGTGGACAGCCGAAAGGCCGAGGCTTCAGACTTTTGCCTTTAATCTCACGAACAGAGGCCCCCTCCTTAAAAACCCCACGTCGGTAGGTGAGAGAAGCAGCCAGCCCGCAGAGCGCTGGAGTTTGCCGAACTCCCGCTGCCTTAGGTGGTGGTCCCGGCAGCCAGGGGCACTGGCCGGCTCCCCAGGCTCTGCAGCACTGGGAAATCACCTTTTTCCCCCCAGTATTTCGAGTTCCCTGCCCAAACCACTCGTCCCGAGATTATTCATTAACTCCTTTTGCAGCAGAGGCGTTTCTCTGAGGTCCTCCCGTCCCTCCCGCCCCGGCGCCCCTCAGCCCGGCTCGCTGCCCTCCTACCTGCTCGCCTCCCCCGGCCACCGGGACTCCCGCAGCGCCGCGTCCCTCCGCACCTGCCCTTTTTTTGGGGGCTGCAAGCGTGCCTTTTCCGTCAAGGCAACATCACTTCCCGTAAGGCCCGAGGTAGGGGCGGGACGGCGGCGGGCAGGGTAAGGCAGGGCAAGACGAGCAGCACCGCTCCGGGGTGGCTCGGCCCGGCCCCCCGACACCCCCCCCGACCCCCGGAACGGGCTGGCGAGCACGGCCCGGGGGCAGCACCGTACCGCAGCGGGGTGCGATGCTCAGGCACTGCCTCCTGCTATACTCGCTTTGCTCAAATTCAGAGGGGCCATTTTTAATGAAACAGGCTGGTTCTTCGGTCGTGCTGCTCCTGACTTTGCTGAAAGATCACACGCCGTTTAATAAAAATTCATGAGAGGCAAAACAGGTTTTGAAGGGAAAATACGTGGTACCAGATTAATCTTCACCACTGCGGATTTGGTGAGATTTTTGTGCCGCCTGCTGGCTAGCTCCCCTCACAAGACGGAAGTACTTTCACACTTTAAATCCAGCAGTCTCAGGAACTCAGCAAGCACGGTCCTAAGACCAGCTGCATCAATAACCCTTTCTGTCTGCATCACTTTAGACGTCCTCTTTCTTGAGACTTTTCAAAATTAGCGGCCATCTCTATGGACAAATGTCCTGGTTTCAGCTGGGATGTAGTTAACCGTCTTCCTAGTAGCTGGTACAGTGCTATGTTTTGAGTTCAGTATGTGAAGAATGTTGATAACACTGATGTTTTCAGTTGTTGCTCAGTAGTGTTTAGACTACAGTCAAGGAATTTTCAGCTTCTCATGCCCAGCCAGGGCACCTGACCCAAACTGGCCAACAGCGAATTCCATACCATGGGACGTCCCATCTAGTTTAGGAACTGGGGAGTGGGGGGCAGGGATTCGCCGCTTGGGGACTGGCTGGGTGTCGGTCGGCGGGTGGTGAGCAATTGGCCTGCGCATCATTTGTACATTTCAATCCTTTTATTGCTACTGTTGTCATTTTATTAGTGTTATCATTATCATTATTAGTCTCTTCTTTTCTGTTCTATTAAATCGTTCTTATCTCAACCCAGGAGTTTTACTTCTTTTCCTGATTTTCTCCCCCATCCCACTGGATGGGGGGGAGTGAGTGAGCGGCTGCGTGGTGCTTAGTTGCTGGCTGGGGTTAAACCACGACAACAAACTTCCAGCAATTATGCTTACAAAGGAAGTGCCCACTAGACCTGTTATACCTTTTTAAAATGGCCTTTTCAATACCGAATGGTCGTCTTAACAAAGGAAAGTGCTGGAGTCACCACAGTAGTTCTGTGTTTGCACTTGTCACAGACTTGTGTTGACACAGACATGTCCAAAATAGATTCATCGTGGACCCAACTGAAGCTCCCGGTCCACCTTCTACTGCTACCCTCTCACCTTAGCTTCTGTAAAGTCTACCCACTGCCTCCAGCAGTCTCATCATTCCTGGCTTTAAATTAAAAGCTCATCCGGAGTAAGGATTTCTTCCCTCATGCTGCGCAAACAAGATTCTGCATTAAAACCAAAATCTGACAGAAGTTCCTCCAAAGATCTGCAGGTTTTGGTTTCTTTTTAGATTTACTAAAGTCTTGAAATATCTACTGATCTAGTTTTCCTCAGACTCAGATTCTGTTCTCTTTGTCAGACTGATCCACACCTATCGCAAGATTAACGCTGTCCTCCCGAGCTACACGCTGAAGCACTTCTCCAAGTACAGCCTGACTTTCAGGCAACCTTATCTACTAAATAGCCACTCTAGCCTCACTCCGTCAGGAATCAAAGATGCGTATATGCATGTGCGGTACATGTGTGTATGTATCTATATACAGGTATGAGTACAAGCCAAGGACACCGAAGTTGGGTGCAGTTCCTTTCTCAGCCATCAGCACAACTGCATTCCCAACAGAAGCAAAGTATTAAGAACTGAAAGCGTGACAAGTAGATAAAAATGGTATTTATCGCTCGGAGGATCGGACCAGAGGCAGTCCAAAAAAACCCACAAAGCGTAACTGTACGACAGCAACTTTCTTTTTCCAGTTCCCCGGTGGTCATTCAAACTTAGACGTGAAGACATACCTTTAAACATTCAGAATTTTATACATATTTCAACATTCAGGTCCCTACAGGCTGGTACCAAACACGCTCGTATACAGTTACACCTTCAGCTGGCTGATGGCTTCGCAGCAGGGCCGG